GTACTGTAAAATGGAGATCTGTAGCTGTGGTTGCCCACTGTCTCTAGATAAATGAATCCAGTGTAAGGACCATTGTGAAAAAAAAAAAAAGAAAAGGAAATTGATGAAGCTGTCACTACAGCTATGCCAACAGGTACAAAACCTTGCACTTTTTTCAAAATACATTTTTTTTTTTTTTTTAGACAGTCTCACTCTGTTGCCCTGGGTAGAGTGGTGCAGTGGTATCATCTTAGCTCACTGCAACCTCAAACTCCTAGGCTCAAGGGATCCTCCTGCCTCAGCCTCCTGAATAGCTGAGACTACAGGTGCACACCATGATGCCTGACTAAGTTTTCTATTTGTAGTAGAGACTGGGTCTCACTTTTGCTCAGGCTGGTCTCAAACTCCTGAGCTCAAGCAGTCCTCCCACCTCAGCCTCCCAGAGTGCTACGATTACAGGCATGAGGCCCTGCACCTGGCCCAAAATATGTTTTTATCTTCTATTGAAAATATATGTGGGCACAGGGTTGCATGTAAGAAAGGCATACCTATAGGTTCTGATGTGATTCAAGAAAAAGCAAAGTCCTTATATGACAACTTAAAGCAAAAGGAAGGTGAAGGATCTATAGCTGAAGAATTTAATGCCAGCAAAGGATGGTTTGATAATTTTAGAAAGAGATTTGGCTTAAAAAATGCCAAGATAACAGGAGAAGCAGCTACTGCCAACCAAGAAGCAGCAGATGAGTTCCCAAACACCATTAAGAAAATCATGGAGGAGAAAGGATATCTGCCTGAACAGGTTTTAATGCAAACAAATGTGCCCTATTCTGGGAAGAAAATGCCACAAAGGATATTTATTAGTAAGGAAGAAAAGCAAAGAGCAGGATTTAAGGCAGGAAGGGTTAGGCTAACTCCACTGTTTTGTCAGATTTATGATCAAGACTGCCCTTATCTATACAGGTGCTAACCCGAAGCCTTAAAGGGAAAAGATAAAACACCAGCTGCCAGTCTTTTGGTTGTACAAAAAGAAGGCCTGAACAGTGAGAATCCTTTTTCTAGATTGGTTCCATTGATGCTTTGTCCCTGAAGTCAGGAAGTACCTTGCCAGAAAAGGACCGCCTTTAAAGTTCTTTCAGTATTG